AAAAAAAAAAAAAAATTAGATATTTTCAATAAGAACTCCATCTGTTCGTGAAATCTTGGCAAAAAAACGGCTCGAGCGAAAGCAACGGAGATATCGATGAGCGAATTGAACCGCGTGGCTTCTTATCTGTTGCAAACGGTGACGCAACCAGCAGCGCAATTAATAAATCTCTCTGGAGGATAGATAGAGAGAAAGGATCGCGTCATTGTGGCGCGAAGTCGTATAAATTTTTCAACATTTCTCAATTGAACGACCGAGAATCAGTGGCAAAGCGACATTTGGTCGTTTGGTCATTTCAGTTGTTTCTCGAGAGTGCGTCAATTAGACAAACGACCACGTGATAACTTTGCATTCGATTGATATCCTCTACAAATGAAATTAACATATGACGATAAAAGTATAAAATTATCGTGAGTGACGCGCCAAGTGACGTCTAATGGATGAAATAACAATGGAACAATAACGCTAGAATCGATGCTTTATGGTATAGAATTATTGTATCGTATAACAATCTGTTTGGAGCTTCAATAATTTTGCTACAATCGTTTCGTAGCAAATTGCTACGATGTGAAATTCTATGAAGCTAGAACGGAGAGAGAAGAATTTATCGTTTGCTCTAAGATATTTACACGAAGAACGTTATGTCATGTACATTTATAATTAATAGGAAGGAGATAGGACACAGATAACTGTAAAAATAGAGAATGTTCTACCGAGATACACAGAAGCGGATGTTATCTTAAGATATGGAGGAAAAAAAAGAGAGAAAGAGAGAAACAAATGAAATGACCAAAGCCAGATTATTATGTATACTACCGTGCATAAATAAATATTCGACACTTAGTATTGGACAACTCCATTGAAAGATATTTCAATATTTCGACGTTCCGACGAACTATTTATTTTCTGCATTTTCAAGCTTCATATTCAACTGATAAATATAAATATGCCGATGCTTTGTAAAATCTGTTTCACAAACATTTTCAACGTGTATAATTTCACAAGTATATATTTCAAACACATATTTCTAAAATGTCAGCCACCTAATCATTATATTTATTTATTCTTCTTATCAATATCTATCAATTGTATATGTCAAGATTAAATTAAAGAGATTGTATCTTACGTTGCAATAATTTAAAAGTATCCACGTACTTATGCACGATAGTTGACCTATGGTTATTATTTAAAAGAAATGTACAATAATTTCAACCACTGTCATTCCTTTCCTAGAGCGTAATGACAAATTACTGTCGTGGATTCCTTTGGATTTATTTTAAAAAGCGTAACGAACGTTTACGTAAAAATATAATCCTGTCTTGATAAAAGAAATCGATATATCGATGTCAACGAGCGGTGGTCTGTTTTTCATAACGATATCCATTAGCGCCATGCCGTGTTACACTCGCGGAGAACATTATTCAACTGATACTCCTTTGAGATATTCCCCAATTTTTATCTAACTTAATACCCAGGTAAGTAAGAAAAAATATCGGCCGCGTTAGTTTATCTCTTTGGAGATGAAACTGTCCTGTTCTTTTGGGGGAACCGAAAACAAATTTTTATTTCTATGATCGTATTTCTTGGGATGCAGAAACATTTGCGATAAAAAAAAAAAAATCTTTGCCATTACGATTGCATTTCTAAAAACTGAACTCTTAATCTGTTCCGAATCCAATGCATACGATAGATTAGAAATTACACGCGGTTCAGTCGTTACTTATTATTCTGATTTCCACATTGATTTTCTAGAAGAAGAATGAAAAAGCAGTAGAGATTGTTTCAATTCAACTTTAAGTTTGAAAATGTAAGCACTTCTTTCTTCTGATGGCTGAAGCCACGTTCTTGACATTTTAATTCAACGCAAAATATGTTTGTTGTATCTAAGGTCAGTCTTCCTCGACACGGATAAACGTATACTTATTACAAACGCAATTCAGCTGTTAGTGCCACTGATTTCGGGTCATATATTATCAGCTGCTACTTTTTTTTTTTTTTTTGTCACTCTAGATCAAAGACATTGTAATAATAATATGTTGCTTTATTTATTCTCTCTTTGGAAATGTATTATAAATCATTTATTTCTTTATGTTCAATCATTTCGATTGAAATATTCCAATCTTTAATAGACTCAAAGTTGACTGCGGATTTTTATGCAAATTCACGTTTTTCGAGAACATGATTAAAAAAATGGGATCTCCCTTGAAAACTGTTTTACACGAAACATTGTATGTTGGATGTCTTATATATTCTTTTTAATATTAAATGCATTCTACAAATGCATAAAAATCGATAATCTACCGATAAGAAAAATATATATTTTTGTATACTTTATAATATAATATAATATGTTCGATTTAATAAAAACAGCAGAAAATGATGATTTTTCAACTAAATGTTGTTCTGTTCTTTGATATTTCTTGAGGGATCATCCTAATCTCAACACAGTTGTAAAAACGTTCTTAAACAACCAATTTATCATCATCATCCGAGATAAGCAAATTCAACCGACTAATGAGTATCTGTCAAAGGTTATAACCTTTATCTAATTGTCTAATCATCTAATTAAATTACTTAATTATTACTAATTGTACAATTATCTAATTAATTATTTTTCAAAGTCCTGTCCACTCAATAGTACAATCTATTTAATGTCCACCAACAATTTTTCTTTCTTAGTAAACTATCTTAGAAAAGATCTTAAAAGAAGGACAGTTATCCATCAATAAATACCATCTCTATTAATTTTTTATTTCTCAAAAAAAACAATCCAGAGGAAGATATTAATCAAAATTAAACAAACAAATAAACAGAAGTGTGAAAAAAAATACCAATCAATTCTAGAACTACTGACAACTAAAGTATAAAATTTCCATCAGAGACATTCAAGTACTCTGTAGTACAATAGACATATAAGCTTTTATTTAAATCTTCACGTCTACATCTACAAGGTTTCTAATAAAAATTATAAATTAGTCATTTTGACCACTTTGGTAGTTGAAGAATAAAAAGTGTTAAAGAGTAGAGTATTAAGATTATGAAAATGTTTGGACATTTAATACAGAAAACTTCTATATAATAGGTATATATTACATGTATGTTCAATAAAACTATTGAAATTTTATTAGCATCATAACGAGATACGATTATATTGACGAAATTTAAAAACAGTCTGAAAATATATATTAAAGTTACAAGATATTTACTGCAAATATATAATAAAAACTTGTATATTATATACAATATTAAACATGCAAAAGAAATGATCCCATTGAACATGACTAATTGGTAATTGACTGTTTAAGTTATTTCTTGTTATTTTTATACTGTACTCAACTTACAATAATACAACAATATACGTTTTTTTAACTGTATATATACTATAATAATCACGATAGTTGACTCGTAACAATGTTAGGGAAATATCAAAGTTTATAAACAATGTATTCATAAAGTTTCTAAAGATATTGCTGTACAGCAACGTCATCGGCGTTTGCAGACTATTAGGGGCATCGATGGGCCACGTGGTCCCCGATGTGATTTTGCCAAGCCCACGATTGGCAATTTTACGAAGAAAACAGAGAGCGGTCCTGAGCCGGGTAGGCCCGGGGCCACACGGAGATGTCGCTTATGGCCGATTATCGGGGGTGGCTGGCATCGTAAATAAGCGCAAGCCGTGACGATCCAATTAGCCAGGAAGCCGTTTCGCTGACGCGTCTGCCGGTGTTCTGGGACCGATTTCTCCCCTGGGAGAAGCACGGTGACGGGACCGGGTGGCACAGCCTCGATTATCGCGGCCCGTGTTGCAACAAGCCACACCACGAGCACCACGTCTCCTCTCGGGATCGAGATCCACTCGCTGTCGCAGTCTCCACGCGTCCTACGACTGCGAAGCGTCCGAGAGGGTAAATTAAGCGACCTCGACAGTCGTCGCGCGAACACCAAGCTTTCCAGGATATTTCTTAAGTTTCTCCCTGAAGGGACAACTCAAGGGATAGATTTTATAATAATTTCGTTGTTCTTCCGTTGATTTTATCCATGTCTGGCTTTTCCAATGATACATCAGCTATAATTTTGACCCAGGAAGGATAGCCCGTGGTTGATGACACATTGGCGTTTCAATGAAATTTACATCATTATTGAAAGATTTAAAAATTTATATTGTTATAGGTTAAAAAAAAAAGAAACTTAGATATTGTAAAAAGGGGTTTAGTTTTGTTGAATGAGAATGGCAGTGGTTTGACACTGGCAAAATTGAAAGGAACAGTTTGAAAATTCGAAAGAAGGGACGATCGCGCGGTCGAATAACGGCCGATTTGTTGTCAATTTGTTGATCGCGTGCAGTACCAAGGACCTTGTAACAGTGGCAACCGGAAGTGATAGTACGCAGGGGAAATCAAGACAGTGATTAATGGTGGTGAACTAATTGCGAATATAAAGCGCAAATAAAGAAGACAAATAGAGAAGAGTGGAACGTCACGGATTGCGTAGTTTTGTGAGATATCGGTTTCGAATAGATACAGCTTCGACTAAACGACAAGATGATAGAAGAGACTGCAATGTTTGATGTGAGTAAAAATTAACAACCGACATGCTGTGGTAAAAATAACAGAATTACAACAGGACAACAACATAGCTATCATTGACAAAACCAATTCACTCTCACAGTTTTTCACTTCGCTATCCAAATTCCTCTGCTTTTCTATTAAATCCTTTTAGTCATCAACATCTCATTGACCATACGTGGACAAAGAATAAAATTTAAAGAATAGCCCCGAAAAGAAGTAAGAAATAACAACGGTAACCATCGCAATCACCGTGTTACGTTTCCCCCTTTCTCTCAACGCCGATAACTCAAAATAGAATTGAATGTTAATCAACAGATATAGAATGTTCGCGCCGCATGACTTATTGTCGGTATCACCAAGAAACCGTTTAATCCCAGACAAGCAACACTCTCGCAACAATAAACAG